AAATTTTTTTAAGTACTAAAGTCCAAAAAAATGTTTGAAAGATGCTAGAAAACTTCAAATTTCCCGGGCGTGAATATAGTTCAAGAGTCTGGTACTGTATAAGGTATGTCGTACTTATTGGGATTTATTTACAGGTATTCTTAATGTAAACAAAACTTTAAAACAATGGGAAAAAAAGGTAATGGAGACCCGACTTTCGACATACAAACAAATCAACTTACAAACAGCCTGTTCTTAAATTGGGGACTTACTGTACATATAATATATCTAGATATATACACACACATACATATATATATATATATATATATATATATATATATATATATATATATATATATATATATATATGCATATATATATATATATATATATATATATATATATATATATATATATACGTGTTTGTGTGTGTGTGTGTGTGTGTGTGAGAGTGTGAGTGTGTGCGTGTGAGTGTGTGCGTGTGAGTGTGTGCGTGTGAGTGTGTGGGTATGAGTATGTGAGTGAGTGTATGTGTGCGTGTGCATGTGCATGTTCATGTGCGTGGGCGTGTGCATGTGCATGTGCGTGTGCATGTGCATGGGCGTGTGCATGTGCGTGTGCATGTGCGTATGCATGTCTGTATCTTTGTGTGAGCATGTGTCTATATATATACATATATAATATAATATATTTACATATTTATATAATATAGATATAATATATACATATATGTATACAAATATATGTAATATATATGCACATATGGATATACATGCATATATGGATATATATACAAATATGGATATATATGTGTATATGTATATATATATATGGATACATGTGCACATATGATATATATATATATATATATATATATATATATATATATATATATATATATATATATATATATAAATGGCTTTATATATATATGAACACACACACATATATGTATATATATATGTATATGTATGTATATATATATGTATGTATATATATCCATATATATATCCATATATATATATACATATTTCTTAATATATATATAAATATATAATACATATATAATACATGTATATAATGTATATATATATATATATATATATATATATATATATATATATATATATATATATATATATATATATATATATAAATATATATAATATGTACAATATATATAACATATATTATATATATAAATATATAATATATATAATATATATAATATAGATATAATACAGATATAATATAAATATAACATATATAATATATGTAATATATACAATATATATAGAATGTATATAATATATATAATATATATATAATATACATATAATGTATGATATATATAATATATTATATAATATGTATAATATATAAATATGTATACTATATATACTATGTATATATAATTATTTATATACAGAATATATATATACTATATATATATTTTATATATACAAATATTTATTGAATATATGTTACATATATATTAATATCTATAAATATATATAAATAAATATATCAATATATGCATATATACATTATATATATATATATATATATATATATATATATATATATATATATATATATATATATATATATATATATATATATATTCATTTTATATATACATAAATATATCATATATATAGATAAACATATATATAATATATACAATATATATACATACATATTCATATATCAATATATATATACTGTAATATATGTAATATATTTATATTAATATGGGTGGGTGCTTCATGGCCGGAGTGTTATGAAGCGATGGTGTGGTAGCCAAGATGGTGTTAAGTGCGTGCATGCATTCTCGCTTACAGCTGCCACCGCTGGCTAGCCTGGTGCGAAAAGGAAGCAGCTTTGTATAAGACTCCCCTGCCAGCTCATAGCCTCTCCATCATCAAGACTTCTGCAGTGCCTCCTCGTGGCCACCCATGGAAACTAGGTACCTTGTGGTCCTAGGCTGAACTGTGGAGGCTCTTGGAGCAGCAGGAGGCCCTAAAGGTACAGAGTCATGGCCCACCGGTGTGTGGACACGCCCTGACTTCTTACTAACTCCTGCCCCCGTGCCCCCTGGGGTTAATGGGCGGCTGTGGGGAGGCAGGCCTTGCCAGTCTGCCCTCCCCACCCCTAGAAAACCGTATTGGCAGCTATACATATAGCCGGTGTTGCTGGGGGGAGGGCTAAAGTCTCTCCCACCCAGCAAGTACGGCGGACTGTGGGTTCCTCTGGGTTGGCGACCGCTGGGACTCGGGTAGGGAGCGGGGGCCCCGACGGCCGCCAACCTGGCATGAAGATTGCGGGGGAAACCCCCAGGGAGCCCCGCAGGCGGATAATGGGGCCTGTAGCCAGCCAACCTCTCCTATTTGGAACGGCGTCGATAGGGGTGGCAGAGGTGGCACCCACCCGGAGTGACTGCCCGAGGTTAGACCTCAGACGGGCTGTCAGGGTAGGGGCGTGGAACGTCCGTTTCTTGCGACAGGATAATCGGTTACCACTACTGTCAAGGGAATTGAAGCAGCTGAGAGTTGAGATGGCTGCTCTCTCGGAGGTGAGAAGACCTGGCAGGGGCATGATTAGTGTGGGTGGCTACACCTATTACTGGTCGGGCCGCAGCGATGGCCATCATCTCAGGGAGTAGCCATAGCCATCTCCAGCAGACTTCAACCCTTGGTAGTAGAAGTCACTCCAGTCGATGAGCGTATTATGGTATTGAGACTGAAGCTTTCATTCGGCTTCAAGTCTCTTATTGCTGTGTACGCTCCTATGGATGTATATAAACTTGAGGTGAAAGAGATATTTTACGCCAAACTTGCATCTGTGATAGACAGCTGTCCTCGGCGAGATATTCGTATTGTTCTGAGTGACTTCAATGTGGTGTCTGGCTGTGATCGAGCTGGCTATGAGATGTCTGTCGGTCCTCATGGCTCAGGAGCTGATGCTGGCAGCGAGAATAGCCTCCTTTCCATCTCGCAGGAGACACTGGAAGCCACAGATGCTTGTCATGCGGCTCGATTGTCAGCGGATCGCAACTTGCACCGTTCTCTGGTGCATAGGATTAGGACACTGTTGAGAAGGGATAAGGAACAGTTTATCAGGAATCTGGCACAGGAAGTCGAAAGCTATTTCCTAGTAAATGACCTTCGCCCCGCCTACCAAGCCCTGAGAAAGCTGAACTCCAAGCCCTCCTCACAGACGACTGCAGTCCGCTCAGCAAGTGGCCAGATAATCTCAGATCCTGATGGGGTACGTGCACGTTGGGCTAAGTATTTTCAGCAGTTGTATCAGGTTGATCCACCAACAGTTAACATGGACGTGGGAAATGTTGAGATTCCTCTGCCTGACCCACCCATCAGTGAGGATCCACCCTTCCTGACTGAAGTCAGCGGGGCAATCTCAAAGCTGAAGAATGGAAAAGAAGCAGATGTTTGTGGCATTCCAGAATTGTTAAAGGCTGGTGGAGAACCTATGGCAAGGGGCTTGCATGCAGTCCTGTCTACCATCTGGCAGACTGGTACCATTCTCCCTGACCTGCTGAGGGGTGTGGTCATCCCCCTCTGGAAGGGGAAAGGGGATCGGTGGGACTGCAGCAATCACCGAGGTATTACACTACTCAGTGTACCAGGCAAGGCACTCGCACACATCTTACTGAGACGTATCAGAGACCACCTGCTGAGGCACCAAGGGCCGGAGGAATCGGGATTCACTCTTGGTCCACAATAGACCGCATCCTGGCACTTCAAGTCATTGTGGAGCGCCGTCGTGAGTTCGGTCGTGGGCTGCTTGCAGACTACATCGACCTCAAGAAGGCGTTAGATACTGTGCATCGCGAATCACTCTGGGAGATCCTGAAGCTAAGAGGAATTCCAACAAGGATTGTTGGATTTATAGCAATCCTGTATACAGGCACTGAGAGTGCTGTAAAGTGCGGTGGGGGCTTCTTCCCTGTTAGTTCAGGCATGAGGCAAGGCTGTGTTCTTGCACCAACACTTTTCAACACTTGCATGGATTGGATACTGGGTAGAGCTACTGTCCAAAGTCACTGTGGCGCAACGCAGGGCAATATCAAGGTTACTGACCTTGACTTTGCTGATGTTGCCATTCTATCTGAATCTCTGGAAACCCTAGTGGCGGCTCTCGATGCATTTAGCAATGAAGCGAAGCCCCTGGGGCTAGAGGTCTCCTGGACCAAGACCAAGATCCAGGA